GATTTTTAATTCCCTTCTGTTGTGTTTTTTAGTGTTTTTATGAGGGATGGTCACTTGTTGGCCTGATAGGAGCATTGTGTCCAAAGTTCGTGTCAATTCGTCCAGTGGTTTTTGAGTTATGTTAATCCCACAAACAAACATTACATTTTTATTTATATAGATATTAGGCATGAGCAATCCATGGTTCTAAATGGTTCAAAAATATGTAAAAAATAAACTTCTGGTGGTGAAAACTAGGGGGCGCTGGTGCTTTGCTTCTACAGTGTTGCTAAAGTTCTGGTGGTGAAAATTTCAGAACTCCAACAAAACTTTCAAAATTTCATTATAAATGGTAGTTCTTAATTGGTTCTCTCATAAAAATTGCCAATAATGAAATATTAATGAAATTTTGAAAGTTTTGTTAGATTTCTGAAATTTTTACCACCAAAACTTTAGAAACACTTTAGAAGCAAAGCAACAGTTTTAGAAAAACGTTAGAAACAAAGCACCAGTGCCCCCTAGTTTTGTAATTATTTTAGAACCATGGATTGCACATGCTCAGGAGACAGTTATGAGAAACCTTAGCATAATTCCACATGTAGATCTCTTAAAATATATCAATATACTTGACCATGTTGAATTTTGGACTTAGAGATAGCTTTAGTTTCTAGGGAAGTTCAGAACTGCCATTTATAACGAAATTTTGTTAGAGTTCTAAAATTTTCACCACCAGAACTTTAACAGAACTGTAGAAGCAAAGCACCAGCGCCCCCTGGTTTTCATCACCAGAACTTTAGTTTTGTAAGTACTTTAGAACCATTTAGAACCATAGATTACCCATGCCTAATAGATATATATCGGGCATGGGCAAACTTTTGGGGCACAGGGGCCACATTGTGTTTTAAATGTGGCCCCTGGGTGGAGAGAGTTTGTGTGTACTAATTGAAAAAAAGAAAGAAAGAAAAACAAACAAAGAAAAATATAATATTTAAAATGAAAAACAATTTTAAACAACATAAACTTAATAGCATTCTAGTGGAAGACCCTGGCGGAGGGGGGGCGAGGGGAGGAGGAGAGGGAGGAGGAGGGAAAAGCTGAGCCCCTGATTGTGCTTTGCAGAGTCCCAAGGGCTCCACGGAGCACAGTTTGAGAAACACCGAATTATAGAATCACATGCACTCAAACTATTTGAAGCCAAACCAGTGGGACACCTCCTGTACGGAGTCTAGCTGGGCCTCTTCTCTAATTTTGTCCCTTAGAGCTTGTACAATCAAAATTTCTGAGATCGTCCCTGCAAGTACCAAAATGCATTCCCAATGCCACTCTGTGACTGGAGACAGGTTTCATGAAAGTGGAGGCCAGAATATCCCACGCTCATAGAATCATAGAATCAAAGAGTTGGAAGAGACCTCATGGGCCATCCAGTCCAACCCCCTGCCAAGAAGCAGGAATATTGCATTCAAATCACCCCTAACAGATGGCCATCCAGCCTCTGTTTAAAAGCTTCCAAAGAAGGAGCCTCCACCACACTCCGGGGCAGAGAGTTCCACTGCTGAACAGCTCTCCCAGTCAGTAAGTTCTTCCTCATGTTCAGATGGAATCTCCTCTCTTGTAGTTTGAAGCCATTGTTCCGCGTCCTAGTCTCCAGGGAAGCAGAAAACAAGCTTGCTCCCTCCTCCCTGTGGCTTCCTCTCACATATTTATACATGGCTCTCATTATGTCTCCTTTCAGCCTTCTCTTCTTCAGGCTAAACATGTCCAGCTCTTTAAGCCGTTCCTCATAGGGCTTGTTCTCCAGACCCTTGATCATTTTAGTCGCCCTCCTCTGGACACATTCCAGCTTGTCAATATCTCTCTTCAATTGTGGTGCCCAGAATTGGACACAATATTCCAAGTGTGGTCTAACCAAAGCAGAATAGAGGGGTAGCATGACTTCCCTGGATCTAGACACTATGCTCCTATTGATGCAGGCCAAAATCCCATTGGCTTTTTTGCCGCCACATCATATTGTTGGTTCATGTTTAACTTGTTGGCCATAAGGACTTCAAGATATTTTTCACACGTACTGCTCTCGAGCCAGGCCTCATCCCCCATTCTGTATCTTTGCATTTTGTTTCTTTCTGCCTAAGTGGAGTATCTTGCATTTGTCCCTGTTGAACTTCATTTTGTCAGTTTTGGCCCATCTCTCTAATCTGTCAAGATCGTTTTGAATTCTGCTCCTGTCCTCTGGAGTATTGGCTATCCCTCCCAATTTGGAGTCGTCTGCAAACTTGATGATCATGCCTTCTAACTTTTCATCTTGCCTCAATAACCATGGATAACTTCCAGACCACATAAAAACAGGTAGTAGCAACAAAAATCTCATCACTGGGCTTTTCTCTGTGGTTGCTACTCAGTATACGATCAAAGCCAAAGCACTCATCAAACAACTTATTGCAGACAAAAAGCGCCAGTTGGAGCTAGCCTATACTCCAACCTTTATTGTCAATGAAGCCAGCAGATATCTCGCCTCCCCTATGGCATACTTAACAAATCTAGAGGTTCCCAATCATCGGAGGGCCTTCACCCTGGCTCAATGTCACGCCCCTCCATCAGCTGTACTCGAGGGCAGATACCAGAAGACCTCTACCCAGAGAGACTCTGCCTCTGTAACTCAGGTTATATAGAATCAACTGAGAATGTGCTCCTCCAGTGCCTGTTCCACAAGGATATTCAATCTAGACTCATCCTGCCTTTGTATACAATTACCTGGGCTGTTCAGGACAATTTTACACCACCCTGCTGCTCTCAGATACCAAGACAGTTATAACCTTTGATTTATTTATTTATTTAGAATATTTGTACCCCGCCCTTCTCAACCCCTTGGGGGGGAGGGGGCTCAGGGTGGCTTCCAATCGGCAGCAATTTGATGCCTCAATATATACATAATCAAAACAAATAGTCAATAATTATAAATAGTTAAAAACATTAAAACAATACAATTAAAATCTGCAAAGAATTACCACTCTGGTGGCCATTATTAGCCAAAAACTGTGGTTGGATGCGCCATTAAATTTATCCATAATCCATTTCCAAGCCATTGTCAATATTGTCATTGTCATTGTCCGCTTAATTACCCAAAGTTTGGACCCACATCCATATTTTTAACTTTTTCCTAAAGTTGAGGAGGGATGAAGATGACCTATTTTCCCCGGGGAGTGAGTTCCACAGGTGGGGGGGGGGCACCAACAAAAAGGCCCAGTCCCTTGTCCCCGCCAAGCGTGTTTGAGACAGAGACGGGGCCGAGAGCAGGACCTCCCCAGAAGATCTTAAACTCCGAGGTGGGACGTAGAAGGAGATACGCTTGGGCAGGTACACTGGACCAGAGCCATATAGGGTTTTATAGATCAAAACCAGCACTGTGGATTGTGCTCGGAATTGGATCGGCAGCCAGTGGAGCTGACACAACAGGGGAGTGGTATGATGCTACCATGTTTTGTGCAGCAGCACTTAAAATCTGCCGAGTGATGACTGGTTCCAAAAGTTAGCAGTCTAACTATCAGCTAACTGAAATGTAAATTAGTGCTCTCCCGTCTCCTAGACTTGTGCCCTGAATGTTCCTACCCCTCCATCAATCTCCCTCCCTCTCCATCCATTTCTAGTCCCTTTCCTTACCTAAATAGTTTTTTGTGTGTTAGTCTTCAACATACCTGTTTCCTAGCCTTTTAGATGTTAATGTACAATGTTTTTATGCTCCATCCATGTTCAACATTTACACAAATGACCAGCCACTGCCAGAAGGGACAGAGAGTTTCATCTATGCTGATGATCATGCCATTACTGCTCAAGCAGGGAGCTTTGAGATGGTTGAAAAGAAGCTCTCCGAAGCTCTAGGTGCTCTTACTGCCTACTACAGGGAAAACCAGCTGATGCCTAATCCATCTAAAACACAGACATGTGCTTTTCACCTTAAGCATCCCGAGCTCTGAGGATTACGTGGGAAGGAATCCCACTGGAGCATTGCAGCGCACCCAAATACCTGGGAGTCACCCTGGACCGTACTCTGACCTACAAGAAGCACTGCCTGAATATCAAGTAAAAAGTGGGCACTAGAAATAATATCATATGAAATCTGACTGGTACAACCTGGGGATCACAACCAGATAAAGTGAAGACATCTGCCCTTGCGCTATGCTACTCTGCTGCTGAGTATGCATGTTCATTGTGGAACACATCTCACGCTAAAACAGTGGATGTGGCATTTAATGAGACATGCCGCATTATCACGGGATGTCTGCGCCCTACACCACTGGAGAAATTACACTGTTTAGCCGGTATTGCACCAACTGACATCCGCTGGGAAGTAGCAACCAGTAGTGAAAGGACCAAGGCAGAGACATCTCCAGCGCATTCTCTGTTTGTGTATCAGCCAGCATGCCAATGACTTAAATCAAGAAATAGTTTTCTAAGATCTACAGAAACACTCGCTGGAACACCTCAGCAAGCGAGAGTCCAAGAGTGGCAGGCTAAAACCTAGAACCTCAATTAATGGCTGATACCAAATGAGAGATTCCCCCCTGGGCACACAGAAAACTGGGTGACTCGGAAGATGCTGAACAGACTGCGCTCTGGCACCACGTGATGCAGAGCCAACCTCAAGAAATGGGGTCACAAAGTGGAATCCACGACATGCGAGTGTGGAGAAGAGCAAACCACAGACCACCTGCTGCAATGCAACCTGAGCCCTGCCACATGCACAATGGAGGACCTTCTTATAGTAACACCAGAGGCTCTTCAAGTGGCCAGATACTGGTCAAAGGACTTTTAATAGAATACCAAGTCTGCAAATTTTGTGGTTTGTTTGTCTGTCTGTTTTTTAATGCAATACAACTGTTTTGGTTTGCTCCTGACACGATAAATAAATAAAATGAGACTGTACCCCACTCTCCTTTCGATCATAATAAGTTTTGATTTGATTTGGTTGAAATACCCCCCCCCCCCCCAAAAAAAATTCTTATAAAAAACAAACAAACATGACATACCGTTCCCATTCATGACGGGGGACTCATTATTAACATCTAGTACTCCGGGCAAATCGTGCTCTCCGTCCTGCTCATTTAAATCCACGTTTGGCTTTTGGGAACCGTTCCGAAAATGTCCCACATCCTTCTCATAATTGGTGTCTCCATTGGGCAGGCCATTATGTGGCTTTTTCAAGGGCATAATCTGTAAACCACTGGGGGTAGTCCGGTAAGATACTGTTTTAGCAGCTCTGTCACCTGAAGATGCTGGTTTGGACGCGTAGCCCTTTTTTGGCTTTTGAAATGTTGGGGCCATGCGTTTTCTTTTATGGGGCAATCCCTTGCTTTTCCCAGAGTCAGGGGGTCTGTGTGATATTTTGTCAAGGGGGGAGCCCCTGCTTTCTCGCAAAAACTTGGGCCCGCTGGCTTGCTTCCCGTGCTTCGCTCGCCTTTCCCTGGTGACGTGCAGCCCGTTGAATTCATCGATGAATTCCTCACAGTGCAATAGGTGATGTTCTGGTTCCCACGTGTCTTCATTACTTCCATAACCTTTCCACCTTATAAGATATTCCCATTTGCCTTTCTTGTTCTTCCTTTTGTCTACAATCCTTTCAACCTAAAACGAGGAAAGGAACAAACTGTTAGCTGATGCAAATGACATTGATTTGGACCAGTGGTTCTCAACCTTCCTAATGCCGTGACCCCTTAATACACTTCCTCATGTTGTCGTGACCCCCTGTTAAAATCACAGACACCTTAAAGGGCCAGACTCAAAAGTGACTTCAATATAGTTTATTAAAACAAAGGAAAAAAGACGCAGAGGCACTTAAATGCAGTGCCACTGGTCAAAACTCAAGAAACAACCAGTCCTGGTTCAAAAAGGTTTACAGGAATATAATCCAGATTAGTTGGATAAAAGAAACAAATCAAACAAAGCATTCTGAGGTCAAACAAAAAGGCACACTACACAACTGGTTAACAAAAGGAGGAGCCGCAGGAAGAGAAGCGTCGTCAGCCGAAGTCCAGGGTCGAAGCGGGAGAAATCCAAAACAGCGCGGCTCCAGAGTCCGCAGAAGCAGCGTCTTTAGTCAAGCTGATCCTGGTCCAGGAAGGGAGAAGTCCACACTCACGAGAAGCCAATCCGGGTCAATAACATGCAAACGATCAAGAGATTCAAACTGCAGATCTCAAACCAATGCGAAACACGAAACTGGCAGCATCAAGTCACACAGCACCCAAAGCACGAACGCATACCAACACCTTGCCTTCTGCAAGGACCCCTCACCCCCGAACCCACTTTTATTTACAACTCATCATTATCCCCCACAGCTGCTTCCAGCTCTTCACTTGAGCCACCTTTTCTTCCCCTCCAAGTCCTCCATCTCCTGTCAAGACTTAGATCTCCCCAAGACTCAGTTGGATCCTCTGATTGCCAGTCTTCACCCCCAGAGAACCCCATAAAGGTATCACTAGTTGTTGGCTCCTCACAAATCGCTTGCACTTCTCTTATCTTAGTCCAATCCATGGTGTCTCCTTCTTCTCCTTCACTCATTGATCCATCATCCCCAGTGAATCAAATGACTCCTCATCTGTAGGGGCAGTAAGTATGTCCCGTATCCTCTTTCTCTGCTGCTCATCATCAGATTCCTGCTCCTGAGTAACCCTTTGTCCCCTTCTGGCACCCACACTACTGTTTGTAACGTTACTCACAGGCTATACTACAACACCCTCCAACCATAAAATTATTTTTGTTGCTATGTCATAACTGTAATTTTGCAGCTGTTAGGAATTGTAATGTAAATATATGATATGCAGGATGTATTTTCATTCACAGGATCAAATTTGGCACAAATAACCGATACGCCCAAATCTGAATGCTGGTGGTGTTCGGGGGGATTTATTTTGTCATTTAGTTCACCTACAATCAAAGAGCATTCTGAACTCCACCAACAATAGAATTGGGCAAAGCTTCCCATGCAGAACCCCCCATGACCAACAGAAAATCCTGTGTTTTCTTATTGTCTTTGGGTTTTTTTCTTAATTTTTAAAATAAAAATTTATATTTATATTTATTGTATCATCTATATAAATAAAAATGTAATGTTCGTTTGTGGGATTAACAGAACTCAAAAACCAGTGGGCAAATTGACACCAAATTTGGACAGCATACACCTAACAATCCAATGTATGTCCTTCACTAAAAAAAATGATTTTGTTATTTGGGAGTTGTTGTTGCTGGGATTTATAGTTCATCTACAATCAAAGAGCAATCTGAACCCTACCGACGATGGAATTGAACCAAACTTGGCACACAGTTCTCCCATGACCAACAGAAAATACTGGAAGGATTTGGTGGGCAGTGTCCTTTTGGTTTTGGAGTTGTAATTCACCTACATCCAGAGATCACTGTGGACTCAAACAATGATGGATCTGGACCAAACTCTACATGAATACTCAATATGCCCAAATGTGAACACTGGTGGAGTTTGGGGGAAATAGAATCTTGACATTTGGGAGTTGTAGTTGCTGGGATTTATAGTTCACCTACAATCACAGAGCATTCTGAACCCCACCAATGATAGAATTGGGCCAAACCTCCCACACAGAGGTTTGGGCCACAGCAACGCGTGGCAGGGGACGGATAGTACATAATAAAATGGAAAGTTGAGAAGGAGAAAGGCAACATGGGATTCATATACAAAATAATCACGGAAATACAATACAACACAAAATCTACCTTGATAGAAGTCTGGAAGAAGGAATTAAGTTGCAGTGAGAGAGAAATAGACAATTGGATAAAATCAATCAATGAAATAAAACATCTAAAGATTAAAGAAATGCAAAGGAAAATACTGACAAAATTGTATAGAACTCCTGTGCAATTGGCGCATATTATGAAAACATGCCCAAAATTATGTTGGTATAATTGCGGAAAAACTGGAACATACATCCACATGTGATGGGAATGCAAAAAAATACAAAAGTCCCATGAAATAATCACGAAGGAAATGGAGGAGTTATTAGGGATAAATATAGAATGGAACAAGACTCAATTTTCACTCAGAAAATGGAAAGTAAAGGGGAATTTAAAGAACGGGAGGAAATAATAAAACATATTTGCCCTAGGCTGGAAGGACTACAAGTAATGGGATATAAAAACTGGTATAAATATCTTGTTGACTATATACTCCAAGATTATGTGAGCGAAAGGAAAAGTTACTATAGGACGGGACAAATCAGAAAGACCTGGGAGGCAAAATGGAAGGATCTCATTTCCAGAATAAAGGGGAAAGTTAAATATAAGGAGTTAAATAAAACAATCCTCGTGACTGAACAATTGTAATAAATATAGCAAGAGTAGTAAACTGCTCCTGGGTGGTGGTGGTGGCGGCAGGGGGGGGGGGAGGAGGAGATAGGGAGGGGGTGGTGGTGGGACTGGGGAAAATACTGGTATTTTGACTGCTTATTTTGAAGATTGTATGTTTCTATGTATGATACTGATGGTCTTTGGTGACCCTTCTGACATCCCCTCACGACCCCCCCTAGGGGTCCCGACCACCAGGCTGAGAAATCCTGATTTAGACTGTAATTCTCAACACATTTTCTTAGGGATTACTTCTACTTGACTTACGTTGGAGTAGATGGGGAAAGAAACCCATACAGTGCATCTACAATTCATTAATGCAGTTCTTATTAGAATGCAGTTTGACACCACTTTAACTGCCATGCCTCAATGTTATGGAATCATAGGAGCTAAAGCAGTGTTTCTCAACCTTCCTAACCCCTTAATACAGTCCTCATGTTGTAGTGATCCCCAACCATAACATTGTTTTCATTGATCCTTCATAACTATAATTTTGCTACTGTTGTGAATCATATCCGATATGCAGGATGTATTTTCATTCACTGGACCAAATGTAGTACAAATACCCTACACGCCCAAAACTGAATACTGGTGGGGATTGATGTTGTCACTTCAGAGTTGTAGTTGCTGGGATTTATAGCTCACCTACAATCAAAGAGCATTCTGTACTCTACCAATGATGGAATTCAACCAAACTTGGCACACAGAACTCCCATGACCAATAGAAAATGCTGGAAGGGTTTGGTGGGCACTGACCTTGAGATTTGGAGTTGTAGTTCACCTACACCCAGAGAGCTCCATGGGCTCAAACAATGATGGACTTGGATCAAACTTGGCACAAATCCTCAATGTGAACACTGGTGGAGTTTGGGGACAATAGACATTGACATTTGGGAGTTGTAGTTGCTGGCATTTATAGTTCACTTACTATCAAAGAGCCCCTCAAACCCCACCAACGATAGAATTGAGCTAAACTTCCCACACAGAACCCCCATGACCAACAGAAAATACTGTGTTTTGGGATGGTCTTTGGTGACCCCTCTGACACCCCCTTGCGACCCACCAGGGGTCCCGACCCCAAGTTGAGAACCACTGAGCTAAAGTTTGGTAAGGTGAAAGAGAAGGGCCAAACTAGACATGTCAGTTCAAATGGTGTCAAACTGAGCCATGTTACAAGCTGCCACGTGGCTGCATTTGTCATAATGTGTTGGGGATTCCTCATCGTCAGAAGAGGAAGGTGAGCAGAGAGGTGCTCAGGTCTTGGAGGGAGTGGAAGAAGAATCTGACAATGAAGCTTTGCACGTGCCTACTTTTTTTAGAAAGACGGAGGGAGTCTTCTAAACAGAGAACAGGCGGCGGTCAGCTCGATTAGCTGCTAAAAGATTAATGAGCTAATTGGGTGATGCCCTAAGCCCTCCTGCCTGGGGTATAAATCAGAAGCAGGAGAACTTAGGCGGCCACTTCACCGACACACCAGCCAATCGGGGCACAGATCCAAGCTGGGATCTCAGTCAAGAAAGGGAGCAGGCGGGGCAGGAATGTTTGAATGTATAAAACCTCATGTCTCTGTATTATGGTTATGCTTGTACATTTTGATGCTAGTTGTACTTGCATCCTGTCTAGCTGGATTGCAACCTCTGTGGTTGTCTTCACCTGGCGAGTGTGTTCTTCAATTGGGAATTTCGGGCTGTAGCGTAAATGCTTGCCAGGCACGGACACTCCACATCTGCAGTCCTAGTCTAAATTCGATCTCTAGGTCAACAATATTTATTATTTATTTATTTACTTTGCTTATATACCGCTGTATCTCAAGCCCGAAGGCGACTCACAGCGGTTCACAAACAGTAAAAACAGTAGAAACAGCAGTGGTTCCATACAACATATAACAATTGACTTAACACATTATCCATAAATTACCAATAAGCAATTATTACAAAAAACAACCGTACCCAATCTTCTCATCATCCAAGCATAGTCCAGGTTCGTCGTCCATTGTTCCATTCCTATGTTCCATTACCAGATTGCACTAAATTACTCAAACGCCTGCACAAACATCCAGGTCTTCACCTTTTTGCGGAATACCATTAGAGATGGTGCTAGTCTAATGTCCGTAGGAAGGGCGTTCCACAGCCGAGGAGCCACCACCGAGAAGGCCCTATCTCTCGTCCCCGCCAGCCGCGCTTGAGAAGCAGGCGGGATCGAGAGCAGGGTCTCCCCGGAAGATCTCAAAGTCCTGGTGGGTTCATAGGCAG